TAGGAATCTGAGTTCTAGTCCTACTTTAAGCAGGAAGCCAATGGGTGACCTTCGGCCAATCATTCATTCTCAGCCCCAGGAAGCAGGCAAGGACAAACGGTTTCCAAAAAACCTTGCCAAGGATGCTCTCAGGGACTTTTTCAGGCAGTCACCAGGAGTCAAGACTGATTCAAAGGCAGCCCCTGGTCTTAAATTGGGTGCCTCAACCCATTGAGAGGAATTGGATTCTGAAATACCAGCAAATTGGACCCTTTCTGTCATGCGCTGTTCATCTTTTGTATTACCCTGGGAAAAGTCTTTCACCTTTTCCCCTACTTGCCACTGTTTTCGGAGTTATGAACAAACCATAAATGAGGAGAAGTAGTTTGTGGTTCAGTGGGCCGTGCAAACACATAAAAGATTTTTAAGGGAGCCCTAATAATTTTGCTGTTCCAGAAAACCATTTTATGATCCAGTATTTAAATGACTGTGTTCATTTGCTCTTTTTTATATTGTTGTTTTGCTCTTTTCCCCCTACTTCAATAATTTGTGATTTTATTATAAATTTGTGATTGCCTTGGGAGACTAGATACCCTAAAATATGGGCTTAATCAATCAAATATGATTCTGATGGCAATTGAAACCTGATTCTTGTATAGTGCTTAGATACTTTATAAGCTGAATATTGTTGACAAAGCGCAACAACATGGAAAGAGTTGTTCTTAACAAGCAATTACTGAAGATAGTTTTAAGTATATCTGAGACAATGGTTTATACATATTCTTGCTGAAGAATGTGCTTTCTTGGAAACTAGACATTACTGTATTTGTCACTTTGATACAAGTGGGTGCATCACTGTCAGATTTGGACTAGTGCTTCACTTAATCAGCAGAAAATACAAAGGAGACATTGAAAATATTACTGAAGGATAAACTGAAGAAAAAGCAGGCAACCATGCTGATTTCTTAGGAAAATGTTTAGATAAAATCAGTAATAAAATAGATTATTAGGCTTAACTAAATATAATTAGCTTATGTAAATAGCCTTTGAGACTCTTAAAAATATGTAGCCTTGATTAATTAATTTTTATTTATGTTGTGCTTCAAGAAAAGGAGAGAGAAGAAATTAGTTTGTAGATGCACAAGAAACAGTAATTCATGAAGCACTTTGTGATCATAAAGGAGTTTTTCTAGAAAAAACACTGACCTAATTTTTAAAGGTAGAAACTAAATTAAATTCTGATCTTTATGTATTTCTTTATATTAAAAATTGGCACTCTACTTTTAACAGGTCTTCAAATAACTGAAATGTAAAAATATTAAATTTCTGATGTTAATCACCTTATAGATTAGTTTGTATATAACTGCATTATTCTACATTATTTATTTAGACGTGGAAACAGTTTGCTTAATTAAAAGTAATTGCTGTTACTTTAGCAGTTGTTTTTCATTTCAAAAAGTGGGGGAGGGAACAGGGAAGGACCTTAGACTTGTAGCGTGGTCAGAAGTCTAATCATTGTAAAGTTGTTTGACAAGTGTGATTATGACCTTGTTTCGGCTGCAAATTCAGGGCAAAGTTTCTTCGTTTAAAACAGCCAAGGGTAAGAGGAATGCCATCGTTAGCTTTATGTCTTTGTTACCTACAACTATGGCAACCTCTGTGAATAAAGTACAATTTTAGCAATACGGGAAGCCAGTTTAAAGCCGATGAGTTCACAAGACATAAAAAAAGCTATGCACGTCTTTATGTCTCCAGGGCCGCCGCTTACCTTTCCATTCCAGAATTGTTATAAGATAAATGTCTTACGTTAATTATAGTCTTCTGGTTCAGATGAAAAAAAAATATCTAATCACAGCTACTAGCTTGAAGTTGTTGGCTTGTTTTCATACTGAGTGATACCTGTGGCTTTCTGATTCAGCCATAATTAGGGTTCATGATTCCCAAGGGATACTAAGGAAAGGGAGAAGGCTCATTCTATTTAACAACCCAACAAGATGTATAATATATGTCCAAACTGGCTATTGGTTAAAAATTGTCTGCATCAGCCTTCCAGATCAGGGGTCTCCAACCTTGGCAACTTTAAGCCTGGCGGACTTCAACTCCCAGAATTCCCCAGGCAGCTTTGCTGGCTGGGGAATTCTGGGAGTTGAGGTCCGCCAGGTTTAAAGTTGCCAAGGTTGGAGACCCCTGTTCCAGATCATAGTCCAGCATAGTTACCTTGATGCTGATCTTCTGTATGAAGAATTTTCTGCCTTTGTAATAGAAACATTAGAACATATTTGAGGTAGAAACATTATTTATTATATTATCATTCATATCTGTATTTGTTAAAAACTGCAGCTTATTACCTACAAACTTGGGCCTTTTTAATGGATTACCTCGTTTCACCTTACTTTATTTTAGTAGGAGTGAAGGTTTATTTTCATCTCCCCAAAGATACTTGCTAATCAACTACAAATACTGCTTTTATTATGCACTTTTTTCACATCTAGATTGCGGCATGAAAAGCCAGAAAACTCCAGAAAACTGGAGTTTGTTTGCAGTCTGCAGGTCGCTAAAGACTTAGATTTTCTTTATTGTTGACTGCCCTTCACCTATTTTGTTACAAGGTTAATCCGTGGCAAACGTTTGTTATAGAAGCTTACAGATAGAGACTGGATTCACATATGGTGCTAAGTCATATAATGTGATTTCTTTGATTTTCACTTCATGTATCATAAAAGTCACCGTGGTTTGTAAACGAGCATGTCGGGATTCTCACTGTTTGAAGTTTATTCAGTAATTCAGAATATATGAACCAGCCTGAGTCTCTTATTTGAAGAGTTTCTTTTAGTTGACAGAGGTAATGAATGCATGGCTAGGAACAGATTAGGGATATCAGGGCTGTCAAACTGGTGGCCCGTGAGCCGGATGCATCACGCACAGGACACGCCCACCCCGGCTCCACAAAGGCAAAAAATGTCGTGATATGTCACGTGACACAATCGAGTTTAACATCTGTGGGATAGATCATCTAGGAGGAAATCAATCTATGTGGTCACTAAGAGACGAAAAGGACTTGATGGCACATAATCAACTGTTTATTTGAAGACGCTTCTCCTTTGTGCACTTTGGGATTTTCTCTGAATTCAATAAGGCATTTTGAATGGACTCCCTTTCCTAGAATTCATAAAGTAGGGCACTTCATAAATGCCAAGCCACTATTTTACAGACGTTATTTATAATCTAAGCTTCTGAAAAAAGCATAAACAGACAACAATTGTTACTTATTAGGATCATTCCAAGAATCATAGTTCTAAAAAGATGGTAAAAACTGAGATACAGAGCAAATGTAGAACATATTTATTTTGCAGCTGTATAATGATAGTGTCATTTAGAAATAGGTGGGGAATTACAGGTAGTCCTCAACTTACAACAATAATTGAGCCCAACATTACTGTTGCTATGTGAAACAGTTGTTAATTAAATCAATGCAGTTAAGTTAGTAACACTGCTGTCAGGGCTTTCCCCTCCCCCCCCAACTTTGCTTGTCAGAATGTTGCAAAAGCTGATCACATGACTCTGGGACACTGCATACATCATAAATATGAGCCAGTTGCTAAGTGCTTGAATTTTAATCATGTGACCATGGGGATGCTGCACCAGTTTAAGTGTGAAAAACAGTCATAAATAAATTTTTTTCTGTGCCATTATAACTTTGAACAGTTGCTAAATGAACCGCCTGTATTTAAGATGGAGCTGGCTCACCTGATGGTGCTGAAGAACATCTGCCAGTATTTGTGAACTCTCCTTCACTGGGACAGTTACCTGTCATAGGTGCTTTATTTATTTATTTATTTATTTTGCATAGAGTAAAGAGCATCAGGTCAGCCAGGTTATGCCTAAGTGACATTTTCCAAATCTATGGTTCCATGACTTAAAGGCATTCCTGACATAATAGCAGTAATCAATTCCAAAGGCTTCAAAAATATCCATAACGACTACAAGTCTGCTGTCTTATGACTATTACATTCTACTTCCCTAAGGCTGGAGAAGGTGAGAAAGCAGTTAAAGCTGTAAAAGCAGTTCATTAAAAATAAATTCAAATTGAAATGAGCACTTAGAGGAATAAAGTGTTCTCTGAATTTTAGAAATCCAAGGCGATAGTTACTTTGGTAATACAGAAATTAAATAGGTCTGATTTGTTTATTTCATTTGTGTAACACTGAATTTGAGATGTGCAGTGTACAACAAAAAAATAAGTAGCACAGTCACAACATAGGAAATTCAAACAAATAGCATTAATTGTTGCAACGAGCCAGTGACACCATCCAGATACTCAGAAATATCATCTTATGAAGGTCAACTATCTCTATTTTGATGGTTTTTTGAAAGGAAACCAGAATTGATACCAATTTAACCTCTGGAAGAAGGCTGACCATCAAGTGGTGGCCACTAGAGAGAATAAACATCTGGAGAATCCCAACTGATCCTAACTCTTGCCTATCAGGATACCCAGTTGTTGAGAGCTTACTTTCTGGTGCAGTTCTACTTGAGGCCTTGGTTCTACTTAGAATAATAGTCCAGGCTCCAGAGAGTATTTAGGAAGCAAGCTATGCAGAACTTTCAAGATTAAAACCACTATTTTGAATTGTACCCTGAACTTGTTGAAAGCCAATGTGGCACCTGTAACAAAAGGTTTACATGGCTGTAGCAAGTCCAGGTGCCAGCAATCTACCAACTTCATTCTGTACCACTTGCAGTTTCTGAACAGACTTTAAAAATAATATGACGTAGACCAAATTACAGTAATCTGTGAAGGGCATAAGCTTCCTGTTCCAGTCTCACCTGGTCTTGTGCCCATAGCTTTCCCTATGGGGAAGATCTACTAGCCAACACAGTCGTGATTGAGAAAAGTTGATAAATGTTTGGATTAATACAGGATAAAGTTCTGTGTATTTTTTAAAACAAATCCCTCATGTAGGATTGTTTTGAGATTTATTTTATCTGATGAAAACATCCTTTTGGCTCCCTCTCTCCAGAACGGTGGCAGAATGTCAGCATTGGTGACATCAGTACCATTATCTGAGGAGGATAATGCCACTTACTCATCTGCTCCCACGGCAGTGACAACAGCTAACATCCTGACAACACCTTTGTTTTTAAATGCTACCAACAGTACTGTGCCACACAAATGCTTGGTGCTGTTATATGAGGACATAGGCACATCCAGGTGAGATGCTATTATTGATGGTTTCTGTTTCATCTTCTGAACAAGGTTCTCTGTATCGCCAGAATTGACATAGCACTATTTGAAAAAGGTATCTTTGTCTTGTTTTTAGAGTTCGTTACTGGGACCTTATGCTATTGGTTCCCAATGTACTTTTCTTTGCATTTCTCCTCTGGAAACTGCCTTCTGCCAGGGCCAAAATCCATGCTACTTCCAGCCCCATTTTTACCACATTCTACATACTGGTAAGTACAAACTTTATTTTCAAAGAACCTGGGGGATCTGGATATATATTCGCTTGGCTCCTTTCAGATTAGTGAAAGGGCTCAGGAGTTGGAAATGTGTGTGGCAACTGTCAGCATTAATTATCTCTCTAAGTAGGATATATCTTTTATTTGGGAATGAGACATTCTTGTGACTTAATCTGATCATTGACCTGCTTGATATTTCTTGTGCTGTTTCTGTGTCTTTTGTGTTTCTGGAAAATCTGACCTTTTAGAAAATAGCAGCTAATCTCCAAAAGGATAAATGGCCTTATTGCCGCTTCTTTAGTTGTTAACTTGATTTGACATGGGCAATCACATTTTGCAATTGAACTTAGTAATACATTATTTGACTTATGCTCTGTCTAGTGCCTGGCATTTGTTAGCTAATGTAATGCTCATTGTTCAAGAAGACAAAAGAGAACACGCCTCTTTTTCTCTTTGACTTACTTTCTCCTTGCAAAATTGTTCTCCCTTTAAATAACTTCAGATATTAACATATTTTTTTAAAAATACAAGTAAGTTTGTAAGTAAATTTATAAGTAAATATAAGTAATCTCTATTTTTCTTTTTTGTTTCCTAATTTCTCTACCTCTGTCCTTCTGCTAGCCGATTTGTGGCAATGCCATCCAGTGTGGCTGGTAGAGAAGGAAGTGGGGAATTATAGGTCAGGAACATGTGGAACGGTGCCTTTCTCTGACCTAGACCAAGAGACACATCAAAACCACGTCAAAACTTGCTTCACTCGCGGCACTTCTGCACATGCGCAGAATCTCTGCCCATGCGCAGAGCGTCTGTGATGACGTCCGCGCGGGTGGGGGGAGCCTCCCCCCTCTGCCACTACTTGTTTGCCTGAACCAGGGCAAACTGGTAGAAACCCACCACTGGTCAAAAACCCTGACTATCAGTGTCATGGTTGCTTACCACTATCTAAATGAGTTGAAAGCTCTGAGAGGAATTGATAAGTCCATGTTTTCTGATGTTCCTTTAGTTGCACAATTTCTACATTGCCACATTTTTAAGGCTATTTCTTGTTAACAGTTGCAAGGAGATTAGAGAGGAATTTAAATGAGAAGAAAAACATCTCCTTATCCTTGCCTTACAACTTCTAATTATTATTCTAAGTGAAAACTCAGTTAACTTTGAAAGATTCTACTTTTTGTGTGATATATAAGTCTGTGAATCTCTCTCTGCCTCTCTCTCTCTCTCTCTCTCTCTCTCTCTCTCTCTCTGTGTGTGTGTGTGTGTGTGTGTGTGTGTGTTGGGATAACACTTCTATTATTTTGGCATTTGTGATATTCCCATTCCCCAAGCAATTTTATGTTTCCGTTTTGCAGTTTCTTTTCCACTTTTGCATAAAAATTTCTTCTTCAGAAAATAAGGAAGGAAGGGATTTGCTTGCCTCTTGCAGAGAGAGGATGATATTGTATTAGCCTTAGGCACAATGGGGAATGAGGCATGGTTCTGCCAGTGAAACAATCTATAGGGGCAACAGCCATCAAAGGGTGATATTAACAGGAGGCTGGTATTTCAGGTGAGTCATGCTTTTCTTATCTGCATGGCTGTTGTCATGCCTGCTAGGTATGACACAGGTATGGCACATGTTCCAACATAGAATATGTAAAACCTTGATGGTATAAAATTCCACTTAAAATAGAAGAGCAAGGAATAAATTAGGAGTTGTCTTCCTGGAAACACTACAGGATTTTCTTAGTGTTCTTTCTTCTCCATGGAAAAGTTAACCGGTTAGAAGGAACTCAGAAATCACAATTTCTGAACACGGTGTGAAATTCTGTTCACCCAGGAAAACTGGACAAAATTGCATATATGTAGGTTGTCTGGGAGAGGCAATAGTTTAAGAGGCTTGTCCTAATCCCAGAGAAATGGCTTCTCATCCTGTAGGGTAAATTTAGGAGAAGTAGTAGAACTCATTAAGGGAGATCTCAGATAATACCTAACCAAGCAACAGCCATTCCTTTTCCCTCTGCAGTTCTTACACCTACAGTTCTGTCCCTCATTCAGGTTTTCTTATGCTTACCGATCTTGTATTTACTTCTCTCCCGGATCTTTGGGAATTTCTGCTGGGAATTTTTTTTCTGGGAGTGGCTTTCTGATTAACTTCCTCTTTTTAAAATAGATTTATGAAACAGATTTAGTCTGTCTTCTTGCTTTCCAAATGCCCTCTTCTTGGCTTCTTGTAAAGCATTTTTGCCATTTACTTGTTTACTCAGCAAAATATGTGCGCTGCTTTTTTTTTCAGGCTTGCAGTATTTGTTAACTGAGTGTAATAGAAAATTTGGAAGTGCAGCTCTAGTAAAAAGCCACAGGTCAGAATAAGGAAAGGTGTTTGGAATCATATCTTATTTAGACCTTAAAAAGGTCTGAAGCTTAGCTGCAGAACTGAAATGACTTTACGGGACAGAACAAAGACTAAAGAGGCTCAGAAGGAAGCAAAATAGGTAATCTACTGCAGAGTGATAAGAGATTGAAAAACAGGAAATTGAGGCAAACAAAAAGAGAAGTTCTGCGGCAAACTTGTATTGCTTTGGAATTGCAGGGATGCAGTCATTAAACACAATTCATAAACATTGTGTGCAGGATAAATGTATAGTACTGCACGCTGTAAAAATTATAGTGAGACATTTATGCAAGTTTCTACATTTGAGGTTAGTCAAATGTAACTTATTAGCCTTAACTGCATTTCTGGTCCTATAACATTGGAGGCGTTTATCCTGTAGGGATGGCATTCTGCAAAGGCTGTGAGATTGCCTAGCAATGTAACATTTCAGTAGTGACTGGAATGGAATATCTTAGAGAGAAAGTAGATATATTTTACTGGTGCAGCGTTAGAAAGAATCCTGTAGAGTCAACTTAGGAGAAGTAGTGGGACTCATTATATACTATAAGTATACATTATATACCGGTACTTCCTCATATACTGAGGAAGGTTCATGTCTGTGAATATTGTACAGATGTAACCAACAATTGTCAACATATTCTCTCCATCTCTCTCTCTCTCTCTCTCGTGTGTGTGTGTGTGTGTGTGTGTGTGTGTGTGTGTGTGTACATGTATATATGTCTGTCTGTCTGTCTGCCTGTCTTACTAGGAAAGCATATATAGTGGTGTGCTTTGGTGAGTAAGGTTGAGCAAGGAATTTCCCTTAATTGACAGTGCTTTCTGTGACAGGACATTCCTTGTGTATATTCAGGTGTATCTTCATAGCCTGAAGGTCCTAAAGTGGGGTGGATAATTAATTTTCCCAAGGGGCCACATGAGAAATTGGGCTGTTGTGGAGGGCCACTGCCCCCACTACCACCACTGCAGGTCAGGGGCAGCAAAGTGGCCCATAGGCTGTAAAATGTCTGGCCTAAAGAGACTTCCCCAAGTCTCATAACTGTAGATACAAGGCATTTGTTGATTGAGCCATAAGACCTCTGAGATTCTGGTAATAAATGCCCTATAGACACCCTGCTATAAGGGGGGCAAAGTGCCATCACCAAATTGTAACTGGGGGGCTGAAAACTATCCAACATATGGTGACAGAGTGCCAAAACTGAGCTTATAATGGAGACTTTGTTGATTTCCTGGCTCTGACAAATGAAGTAAAAACATTTATCTGTAATCTATCTATTTATAATATATTAGAATTCATATTTCATATTATTATCTCTTGTGTTTTTACCGAAATGTCATGTGAATGTGCCATATGATAAATAATAATAAAATAATGAGACACTGGTGGGATGTAGCAAAGGTCAGGTTAGGTTTGAAAGCAGCCCAATTGCTTGGGAATCATTTACTGTTTATTTTTCCTATTTCTAAATCCTTTTGCATTTTTTTCTTTTAGTAGATGACTTGTGGAGTATATCCAAGCTCAGAAGTTTCTTGATACCTTGTGGGAGTGACTGTTGATATCTACAGTATTTATAGTATTAGAATATAAAGAAGCATCACTGTGCTTTGAAATGTTATTAAGTTTAAAATCAAAGAAGAGAATAAGATAATGAAGTGTCTTAAAAAACTCAGCCATGAGGCATTTCTGTTGTCCTTAATGGAAAAAAAAAATCTAGTGTAGGTAACTTGATGCTTATTTGTCTATAGCTTTCCCACTTGTAGCAGGACATCCCATTTGTTATTTTCTCTGCTGTCTTAAGTTCTTATTTTTAGAAAGGTAGTCTCTATGTGTTAGCTCTCTACAACACACTTCCTTAATTCCTAGCTATTTTCTTCCAGGTGTTTGTGGTTGCTGTGGTTGGGATTGCTCGGGCTGTTGTCTCCATGACAGTCAGTGCTTCTACTGCTGCTACGGTCACTGACAAGGTGAGATCAGCTTTAATTTTAAAGAGGTAGATCTAGATTTGATCCCTTCCTCACTTTCAGTATTGAATTTAATATTAACTTATAATCAGATACGATAATACAGATGTGCTCAAATATCTGGCATATACCTCTCAAAGAAAAAGTTGGAAACTTCAGTGAGATTACTATCCTGATATTATTGGAGAGATTCAGAGGTAGTCAAAATATAATCAAGGTACATTGTGGGTAGGAGGGATCCACCCAAAGAGGGCAAATAATAACTAATTTAGAATGAGTTGTTAATGCAACTTATGGCTAAGAGAAACACTTGAAAGGAAGTGTCAAAACATGAAGTGCAAAGCTGAAGTTCATCCTCTTGAGTAATTGAAGCTAGAGAAAAAAGGCAATAAGAATTACTTTTATGTTCTCAAATTGTTGTGGCCAAGGGAACAAAATTTCCTGAGCAATAATTAGGAGTTTATTGCTGCCTGAATAATTTGATAAGAAGCACTTATAGTTGATATATATGTGCAAAAAAGAAATTAGTGTTGATATATTATAGCCGGATCCTACCAATAGTTCTTGTATATCATAGTGATTATTCAAATAAGCAGAAATGTGTATAATGTATTTATTTAAATTGGAGAATTAGTGATTTTTAATGTTCAAATTACTAATGCTGCACATTTACTCTCCCTTTGGCTTGCTGAACTTGGCTCTCTGATCTGTGTTGTTATCTCTAGATCCTGTGGGAAATTACAAGATTCTTCCTTCTGGCCATCGAGCTGAGCATGGTGATTTTGGGCCTTGCATTTGGTAAAAAGTCTTTCTTAGTATTTTTTCCTTTTCTATAAATTAAAATATTAGGTAGTAGTAAAATGCAAAATTAAGCAGTAATTAATTTATACAAGAAGTAGTATTTCAATATAAATATTCCCTGCATTCAAAGAAGAAGTAAATAAGTAGTAGATGACACTCACATAATGAGCCATGGTGGCACAATGTTTAGAATGCAGTATTACAGGCTAACTCTGCCCACTGCCAGGGGTTCGATTTTGACTGGCTCAAGGTTGACTCAGACTTCCATCCTTCTGAGGTCAGTAAAATGAGGACCCAAATTGTTGGGGGCAATATACTTATGTTGTAAATCATTTAGATAATTCTGGAAAGCACTATGGGACAGTATATATGTCTAAAGGCTATTGCTATTCTTTTATTGAATAAAACAGTTTGTTAAGTTATTGATTCTGTTCTAGTATATATCTGCTTAGTACATACTTTTATAAAATCACAAATTTTATTTATTTTTCATTTCTGTACCATTGCCCCTCCTATTCACAACAATACTCTGGGTGTATGTTAGACTAAGAAAGAGCAAAAGGGCCAACATTTAGTGAATTCATGGTTTGAACCAGGCCTCCAAGTACCTGCTCTGAAATTTGAAACAGTGCCCTACTCTGACTGAGAATAAGGCATATGTAGTCTTAAATTTCCTTAAAAGGAAAAACATCTTGCACCCCCCACGCCACTTGCAGCAGTGTCTCCATATATATTGCAAACCTTTTTAAAATTAGCTTTAAGAGTCTTCTTTTCACCAAAATTTGAGCCTGCATCCAGTCTTAAAACAATAATAACAAGCATAGGAATCCACTCCAGGATGACAATATCCAATCGGTAAGGAGGGTTACTATGCAGCTCATATGTTGGGTCACAGCTGGAATAACAATGAATGAAATCATTTTTAAATAAGGCTGAAGAAGCTCCAAATCCTGGTACTGGGCTTTCAAATTATCTAAGACTTGTGATTAAAATACTGGTTCTACAATGTATTATTTCTAAAGATGTGCAAAATGTTTCAAATTCAAATCATTTCAGGTTCAAAATGCATTTTACACTTGAAACAGAGTGAGAACTTGTTTTGAGCTTGAAACACTTGCCAAAGGGGGAAACAGTCCATTTTATTCTGAAAACAACAGAATTTCCCTTGAAATGAGGCATTTTGAAACAGAAGAAGCAGAACGTTTTAAATCCTAAACAGTTCACACTTGAAAAGTCTTATGCATACCTAAGTATTTCAGATGCTAATTTCATGCCCTCCAATGAGCTGGGTCAAAAAGTTTATCATTTCTAGCTTGAAAATGTATATATTGGGGGTGATGGGCATTGTAGTTCAGCACATCATAATTTACCAGATTAGGGAAGACTTATTTCAGAGTAAGGCGTGATAGTTAGACTTATGATGCATATAGGGTTTGACAAAATCTGTATGCAAGTCTAATTTGTACTAGAAGCTACCATCATCATGTAATGTTACCTGTAGATAGAGGGAGCTAATCCTGTCCCTCCTTTGCGGCTCCCTGTGATTCTGCAGGCAGGTGGAATACAAATAGACTGCTTGTCCCATGGGCTGCTCTCCCAAGACATTTGAATTACTCTGCTTTGATCCTTACCTTTTCATCCTGAGAATAACTTGAGGAAATACTTATTTGGTGTTAGAGAGAGACAGGGTACATTGCACATTCTTTGCACGCACAAATCAATGTTTTCTAGCTTAGTGCAGCTGGATGAAGGATGAGTTGAAGGAGAAAAACCTGACACTCTTTCAAAGTGTGTTGATATAACAATTTTAAGTTTTCAAGCGTGTTGATGTGTAATGCTCATACCTTAACTTTATGCTGCTTATCTCTGCATTAGGCAATGTAAGGAAGAAGCTTGATATATGCAAGACCAATATTGTTGGATTGGTCTGACGGTCCTCTGATCTTCAGTGTCAGATGTAAATGCCTTATTCTCCAATGTGTAAATAATGTATATATGGAACATCAGAGGTTAACTTATTCTTTGGACTTTAATGTATTCATAACTTACCACTCCCATTCCTAGCTCCACACCCTTGTATATATAAGGAGCCACCCTCACCATTCTCGTTGCTTCTACCTTGAATATTCAGTGAATATAGAATGCCTATCATAATTAAAAAGAAATATATTTAAAGCTTTAACTTCTATTATCTTTATTGAGTCTGATCCTGAAAATATTGCAACAAGCTGGTAGCAGAGGATGGTTAATTGACTCAATAAGTAATTAAAAATGTCCAAGAAAGATAGGCCCAACACCAGGGCCTACAGCAAAGAAATAGAAACTGATCAAGAGATGATCAACGAATCCACCAATGCGATTTCGAGAGAATCCGAAGAATACCACTGAAGAAGAAGAACTAATGAGTGAAAATAATGACCAGAAAGAAATCGAAATAGAAAATAACGAACTCAGGTCAGAGATATTAAAGATACTAAAAAGCCAAAAGAATGATGAAAGTCTCATCGCGGACCTCCAGGAGATGCTGAAGAACAGCGGAGCAGCGAGAGAGAAAAACGTCATTAAAGAAAAACCCAAAGATCAAAAAATCGTAAGTGAGATGACTACTGAGAAAATAGTTGTTAAAAAGAAAAGATGTGATCCCGCGCGAAATTTTGAATGGCAGCCATCTTGGTTTCAACGAACTTTAAAAGAGAATGGAGCAGAACCAATCAAAACGCTCAGTTCAAAATTTCTGGCGCGAAAAACACTATCAGACGAAGAAAGTGAGAAAGAAGTCTCAAACTCTTCAGATGATCCAAAATCAGAAAGTGAAGACGATTTAACAAAATCTCAAGTAAAATCAGCAATGAAAACGCTTTTTGCTGCTTTTGGGCCAAGACTGAAAATTACCAAGACATCTACGAAGAAGCAAGAAATCAAACCGGCGACTCAAGACCTGCACGCTCCCATCCTGACTTCGAAAGCGACGACGCCCGAGCCCAGAGAGCCATGCCGATTTCGCCCTACACCACAGACAAAATCGAATACCAACGCACAAAAAAGAAGAAAAGAACCGTCACCACCACCAGAACCCCAAAAACCGAGCCAGAGACCGACTCATCTGAGGAGGAGCGGATCGAGAGAGCTGAAAGGGAGAGAACCTTCCACGACGCCACCAAAGAAGAAATGAACAACGCGCATGTGCGAAACTACGTAGACGACCCAGAAGGACTTGAACTGGCCAGAGAACCGCGCAGACTCATTGCAAGCATCCCAATGCCGTTCTGTAATTTCCTGCACTTGAGAGATCACGGACTGCCCCAGGTTGTAAGTAATGGACAGAATAACGTAGGTAACTTACCCAGTGACTTCCCAAAACTTAGAATTGATGGCATTAATTTACAAGAGTGGTATCAACAGCTTCAGGTTATTTTCATGAAAGAAAATTTACTATTCTTTATAACTAGCCCTCCAAGAAGACCTTGGACTTTAAAAATAGATTGTTTACATCATAGAGCATTTTTCATAATAATATCTAGCGTGTCTCCTGCAATGTATCATAGCATCAAACCAAACCTAACTGTATCAGAAATAATTCAATGCATGTTTAATCTATTTCACAGCGATAGCGTAGCTACAACCACAAGAATGTCTAAGGATTTCTTTTCCTCTAGAGTAAAACCAGGGGTTTCTATAAGTGAGCATTTGATAAATCTAAACAAAATAAGAGCTGAGCTACAATTGAGGGGGGAAGTGATTTCAGATCAAACAATGAAAAGTGTTATTATCAATTCACTTGATCCATCATGGGATAGCTTTATGTCACACTTAGATACCATTAATTTGGGATATTTATCCATAGAAAGTCTATCTAACAAATTGATAGCAGAAGACAATTCAAGAAAAAATCGATCCAGTAACCAAACAGACCACAAACCCTTTAGGAAAGTAGTCTTTCAAGATAAACATAATGAGGCCTTTAGATGCTACAATTGTGGATCCAGGGAACATAGTAGAAGAGACTGCCCCAAAGTCTCAAGAGAGAGACATAGACCAGAATATAGGAGCAAATATAATTACAGACAATCTTCCACAGATAGACACAAATATAGAAGCCCACCAAATTACAAAGAAGGTAGAGGGGGTAGAGAAAATTCAAAAGAGAGGAAATCTGGGTCACTGAATGGGCTAAATAAACAAGACAGCAACAGAACACAGCAGGATGAGAATAACAATTGGCTTATTGATTCTGGTGCAACAAATCACACCACCAACAACAAAAGTATATTATCTTCATTTATAGAAGATAAGTTTGTGATAAAGGTAGCTAATCAAGAAAAGGTTCAAGTACTAGGCAAAGGAAATGTGACCTTGCCTGGTCTAGGGAAAATAGAGGGGGTATTACTAATCCCAGAAATACCTCACAACATACTAAGTGCCATAAAATTAAGCAGAGAATCTGATATCAATATAGTTTTCTCAAAGGGGAAAGCAACTATAGAAAAGAACAAAACAAATGTAGGTACTGTAATGATAAAAGGAGGTCTACCCTATCTGATAACTAAAGAAAGATGTTTACATAACATTGATTCAAATATGGAAGATTGTATTGAAGCAGATGATGAAAATGTCAGTAACAGTGACAATGATGAGTGTAGAATAGCTCATGATCACAAAAACACATACAAGGAAAAGAAACCAAAAATAGGTAAACCAATTCATGATGAGTGTGCTCACATCTTACACAGGAAGTTAGGACATGCAAGCTTTCCTGTAGTACAAAAAATGACTGAACACGCAGAAGGTGTCAAAATAAAAAATTGTGAAAATTATTTGGGAATGCTCAGTATGTAAGTCCACCAAACTAAAAACCAGTCCCAGACCAAAAAAATCTAACAGATCAACTAACAATATTTTTGATTTGGTACATATGGACTTAGTTGGTCCATTAAGTCCCTCAATTACCTATAGAAAACGTTACTTCCTAACAATAGTGGATGACTACAGCCGATATGGTTTTGTTTACACATTAAAGCACAAAGATGAAACATTTCAGAAATTCAAGGAATTCTACAAACGTATAGAAACACAACATAATATCAGAATAAAGCAAATTATGACAGATAGGGGATGTGAGTTCATGTCTAAAGAATTCTCCCAATGGTTAAAGGACAGAGGAATGTTACATTTCACGTCCAATCCTTTTTCTGCATTTCAAAATGGAGTTGCAGAGAGGAAAAATTCCACACTACAAACCATGATTAGGTGCACATTAGAGGATGCTGGTTTAGGCAAACAATTTTGGTCAGAGGCATTACATTATTCGAATTACACTCAAAATAGAACCTGGTCCAGTATTGTGAATAAGACACCATATGAGGTGATGTACAATAGAAAACCCAAATTATCACACATGCACATATTTGGAGTCACTGCAGACGTACACATACCTAAACAATTGAGGAGAAAGAGGAGAAAACGTATCCAGGAGATTAAGATTCATGGGATACGAAACTGGAACCAAAGGGTACAGATTTATTGATAGTAATAACAAATTTATAGTATCCAGAACAGCTGTGTTCCATGAACAGGCCAATTGGTCAAAATTGCACCTTAATGAAATATTTCCTAATAAATGTAAAGATACGATATCTTGCGAGGAAGGAACAACAGAAAATCAAAATATTAACAAAAGTAAGAACAAAACCAAAACTTGGACTAATAGTCAGCATAAAATAAAGACAGACACATTAACAAAAAAGGAAGCTAGATATTTGCATGATAACCATAGCAAGCCTGAAAGAACTATTAGAAACAATAGAAACCAAATACCAAATAAATACAAAGATTACATAATGCATATGAATGGAGAACAAATAACACCTAATACATATGAAGAAGTATTGAAACTTCCACATGAAGAAAGAGAAAAATGGGAACTAGCTATGGAAAAAGAGATGGAAAGTTTACAAGGATTAAATGTATTCACACCTGCGATCGCACCTAAGGATAAAACAATTATAGGTACCAGGTGGATTTATAAAATTAAGAACTTAGAAGGAGGCAATACCTTATACAAGGCTAGACTAGTTGCACAAGGCTATGCACAAAAATATCCAGAAGACTATACTGATACATATTCACCCACAGTGAGAACAGAGAGTGTCAAAACAGCCCTTGTAGTAGCATCTGCACTCAATCTGGACGTATTCCAATATGACATACAGACCGCATACTTACATGCAAAATTAGATAAGGAAATATATGTAAGAGCACCACACAGTCAATACACTAATAAGAACGAAATTTGGTTATTAAATAAGAGTCTGTACGGATTAAAGCAATCCGGCAAAAGATGGTACGATTGCTTGGTAAAAGTACTTAAGACCATGGATTTCAACGCCACCACTGCTGATAACTGTTTCTTTGTAAAAAAGAGTAATGATCATATTGAATTTGTATTAATTTACGTGGACGATATTTTATACATTGGAAAGCATAAAGAGAGCAGGGAAATCTTTGTAAATAAGTTAAATGAACACTTCTCACTGAAATCTCTGGGTAAAGTGAATAAATACCTTGGTGTGCAAATTAACAAAACTAAAAGGGGATTCAAACTTACACAGAAAGATAAAATCATCGAACTCCTAAACAAATGTAACTTAAATAATGCTAAAACCTGTGACACCCCTATGCAAACTGATTTTCTTAGAAACACTGATGAATCTTCCCCTGAGTTTAAAGACAACACATTTTACAGATCAGTTATAGGTTCACTCCTTTATATCTAATTGGACTAGGCCAGATATTGCATTACCTCTCAATCTATTGTCAAGATATGTTAGTAAACCAACCTTGTATCATTGGGAAGCTGTCAAAAGAATTCTAAGATATCTGAAGGGTACATTAGATTTTTGTTTAATGTTGGAACCCAATAATGACAGAGAACCAAAAATTACTTGTTATGCTGATGCAGATTGGGCTGGTGATACATCATGCAGAAAGAGTACTTCTGGTTATGTTTTTCTATTGAATGATTGTCCAGTTTACTGGTATACTGGTAAACAAGAACTAGTAGCCACGTCTACTACAGAAGCGGAATATGTTTGTTTGTCCAAAGCTGCAAATAACCTTGTATGGTTCAATGATCTGATCACTGATGTTTGGAAGAAACCCACCTTACCATTTATTATGCATGAAGACAATAAAGCGGCCATTGAAATATCCAGATCCGATGCAATTGGACAAAGGTCCAGGCATATTGATATAAAGTTTAAGCATGTGAGACAACTGTCTCAAGACGGATTCATTAAAGCAATACATTGCGATACTTCTGAACAATTAGCTGACATATTAACAAAACCCTTACCTTCTAAACAACACAAATATTTAACTTCTAAATTATATGTATTATATTGTCCTGAATCAGAATGTAATTGGTGTTGTGTAACGAACCGGCATTTAGAGGGGGATTTGTCAGATGTAAATGCCTTATTCTCCAATGTGTAAATAATGTATATATGGAACATCAGAGGTTAACTATTCTTTGGACTTTAATGTATTCATAACTTACCACTCCCATTCCTAGCTCCACCCCTTGTATATATAAGGAGCCACCCTCACCATTCTCGTTGCTTCTACCTTGAATATTCAGTGAATATAGAATGCCTATCATAATTAAAAAGAAATATATTTAAAGCTTTAACTTCTATTATCTTTATTGAGTCTGATCCTGAAAATATTGCAACATTCAGTAATGGGCAATCTTGCACTATTTATTTATTTATTTGTAAAATATATTGGCCACCTGTCGAAACATAGGCTTTTAAAAGGGCCAGTATCCCATTCCCTTCTTATGTGATCCTTTCCCTTACCACGGCAGTGCATAAAATAGTCCATATAACAAAAATTTATGAGGATTATTGGGATTGATTCATTATGGGTTTTTCAACCATGGAGTGTTTTAATAAGCTATAATGGCCTGGTTTCCATATAGTGCCAAGCCAGAATGGGTGGATATTCTCATTTTGTGACCCAGCAGGATTACACTGAGTAAACCTACAGGTTTGCAGTTCTGTGACCTGTAAATAGTTAAAATGAATTCTGCATTCTTGGATTTAGAAGTTTAAAAAGCTCTGAGTAGATTGATGTGAAAGGCAGGTACTCTAAGCTGTTCAGGGATTGATTCCAAGTATGATCTTTGTTCAATTAGGTCACCTGGAGAGCAAATCCAGTGTCAAGCGTGTCCTGGCTATCACCACTGTTCTGTCGTTGGCCTACTCGGTGACACAGGTAAGCATCATTAAGGGAGAAACACCTGCCTGTCTAGGTTATGCTCTCAAGGAAAGGCAAGTCTTTGCTGCAAAATTCTAGGAGATGGTATAAAGTAAAATAAAACTGGAAACCACTTAAGATATATTTTGTGACAAGCTGGGAAGGAAATAATCATCTTGAATGTTATTTTGAGTTCAAGAATCCCAAGTTGATAAATTGCACTAAGCCATGGTTTGCTTAATAGTTTATTGACTAAACCACTGGCATATATCATGGTGTACAAATCACACTGGCTGGCTTTGCAGGAAGCACTAACTAAGCTTTCATTACTATATTGCCTTGTCTAATGCTGGTAAGAATAAGGCATCTAACATGCAAACTTTAAGATGTTGAGAGGATTGAGGTAGAAGCCAGTGATTCTCAAGCCAGAGGTAGCAATTGTATAAACATACAATAAGCATTTGATATCTAAGCCATTGTGCATGCTGCCAAGACTTCATTAATTTGTGCAAAGGTCAGGAGAAAGAAGCCAGAAAAAAAGAGCGAGTTAGGACCATCATGGCTCTAAGTGTCATCCTACCCTTCTCATTGATAGCGGACAACCAGTTCTTTCTGCTGGTTTTAACTTGCATAGTTTTTGGTGCTAAATTTTCTGCAAGACTGCATCTGTCCCCTGAGTTAGTCTAACACTTTTGATCATGCCAAGAGAAGCAGCTAGTTGTTCCTCATTTTCAGGTGCTGGGGGCAGGGGTTGGGCAAACTATCGAAGTGTTTTTCCATGATGTGGTTGACTTTCTGAAATTATCTCCCAATAGAGGTCTGGCTATCAGCTTCTGGAAAAAGTTAAAAATAGAGCTTTTTGGGAGGACTTTGGGGTTTGGATTCCATATATTATGTTGGGATGTTTTAATGTATTTATAAGCTATTATTGTGCTTTGTTTATTATTGTGAATTATAGAGTGTGTAGTACAATTGTGGTAGGATATAAATCTGGAAACAAAGATACAAGTGAATAAATAGACTGTTTTGTAGGATGTCATTTTCTCTGCCATAAAGATTCTTTTGCAGCCAAACTATGAGATTTCTGTTTGGTATAGAAGAAGCAAATACAGGAGTTGTAAAATCAGGAAATCAGTGACTTCCTGTCAAATCCTGGTCAAGGTTAGGGTTATTTTAAATATATAATGTTACTTAAATTATTGTAGGTGCCATTTTCTTCTACCATAACTATTACGGCTCTTTTTTTAATTTCACCAAGTAACATGGGAGCAATCTAAAGTACATTAATGGAATCTCATTTGTCTCTATCTCTATCCTGGGAATTAAATCCAAAGGCTAATATTGTTCCACGTACAGCAAATATTTTGAAGCTTCCATATTGCAAAATAGGCTGAGAGACAGTGTGATGGACGGTGTGATGGAAAGCGCTAGCTTTTCAGTGATCAAATTTCATTTCACCAGAATGAAAATAGGAGCATTTTTGTAAACATTTACAGAATGTCCTTTCTCATTACTCCCTATCAATCTTCAGGGAACTCTGGAAATCCGTTATCCCGATGCTCAACTCTCAGCAGAAGATTTTAATATTTATAGCCACGGAGGAAGGCATTTCTGGCTTGCCAGCTCTAGTTTCTTCTTTCTGGTAAGTAGGGAAGTAGACTTTTTTGAGCACCAAAACATTGGCATTTTTCCTGGATAATTAGAGTTGCCTTTTAAAAATCTTATCAATATCTTGTAAATACAACAATATAGTCCCAAATAAAATAAGGCAGGATCTTGGATACTCTCTGTCTGCCATTAACAGCCTCTATACCCATCCATCTGCTGTTTCTCTTCATGATAGGTTTATTCCTTTGTGGTGATGCTTCCCAAAACTCCCTTGAAGGATCGTATTTCTCTGCCATGTAAGTTAACTTTTCTCTCTTCAAGCTAGTCTATTTTGTTCAGTTCTGCAGTGTTAGGATTTCCATAGTTCCCAAAGGCAGGCGGCGGCTGATGCTGCTGTCTTGCATGTCAAACCCAGGCATTTTCTTCTTTAAAGGCCCAGGGAAGTTTACAGGTTTAGCTATAGTAGCACTGTATCTATTCTTCCTTGAGGTAACTGATAACAAAAGCATGCTCCAAATTGGGGAGAGTTATAGAAGTTGGTACTAAGTGCAGTCATCAGCTTACTGGCCTCAGGGCCTTCTGCACTTGAGATAAGATTTTTGCACCTGTTATTTTACCCGGGGGTTGGGGGGGGGAACAGGATGGACGGGGGACGGGACCCAAGACCCTTCTTGGGAAAAGCAAATCTTGTAGCACATGAAATCTGCAATAGAGCACCTAATTTGGATGTTCTTTATTTCATACCAGGTAAAATATGTTCTTGGTGAGAGAAGCAGCCATGACACGGGTGTTTTCAAATGACTCCCCCTTTCCTGCCTTCAATTTTACAGTTTTAAACTGTGGTTACACGTAGCATGAAATATATCATTGTGGTCTTTCTTAACTTTATAATGAGGTTAACCTTCAAGTGCAGTGGAAGAAATGAAATGGATGAGTGCCGTTCAGGATGGCCTTTGAGACCATAATAGGAAGAAGCAGTAGGAGAATGAGCAAATTCAAATTATGTTAAAATTGCACATAATTAGATGGTCCAATCATAAATGGAAAGTGCTGTGAAATTGGCATTTTGTGCTCAAGTGCTTTCAGTGCTGGGTTTCCTGTATTCCTTTTTTTTTTAATTCATTCAGTAAATTGTTGTTTCTGTCTCTTGTGTTTTTCCAGCAAGGAAGAGTTTCTATATCTATGCAGGAATTCTTGCTGTGCTCAATTTAGTGCAAGGTATCGGCAGTGCTCTGCTCTGTGCGGGTATCATTGAAGGCTTATGGTAGGTATTCTGAAGTCTGATAGAGCCATAGAACCATCAAATGACTTTTTGGTGGGGACAAACGGTTTCCAGCCAATTTTTTCATCAAAGATTAGCTTTTTCAGTACAGACTCTGAAGTTACTGAGGGGGACAGCTCTTTTCCCATCCCGGTCGTGCCCTCAGGGGTGGCCCCTTGGAGTCTTTTTTCTGCCATTACATATGGAAGCCATCATTTCTGCCCCGGGCCCTTTCCTCCTTTTGATGGGAAGTGAATTCTATTCCATATTACAGAGTAATCACTGTAGGCTGATTCTTAAATCTCTTTTGTCTCTGTCCTTCTCTTATCTTTGTAAAGGTCAGTGGGAGGAAATCAAGACATTTGGTCCCTGTTGCTTTGAGCACTGCTTTGTTTAAGTAGGCTGAACCAAACAGTGAGTCAAAGATCTTCCCCTTTATTTCACATGCAGGGAGAATATTCTTTGGAGCCTGGAGTAATTCATCTGGTGGCATGCTACTTTCTTGTACTTATAGTTGCCATGGCAAATACATTAATTTTTCATCTTCGTCCTGGGAGCATGTGAGAATCTTCTTGCGGGTTTCTTAGGCCAGGAGCTCCTCCTTCCCTAGTTGAAACTGAGTGACATTGGAGCTGGGCGGCACAGACAGTCAATTTGATCTCAACGTTGTGTGTGTTTGGCCTTAGGCCAACCTCCCAAACATTTGGCCAGTGCAAATAACAAGGGGGAGACCAGATTAGGTCATAGAGGAAGGTCTGGTCCACTGAAGAGGAAAAAGAAGAGCAAAAATAGAGACTCCCACAGAAGACCCCCTTTTTCCCCTGTAAAAGAGCTATTTTTCTTATAAAAGAATGATTTACTATTCTTCCTCATGGATTTGGGAACTGCATTATCAAGTACCCTAAGGAGCATTGGCTCACTTCTTATAAAAGCCTACTTAGCAGACCTCTGTGTAGGTTACACAACTTCATTCTCCTTCTGAAAATTATATACCACTTAATAAAACTTACTCCAAGTAGTAGTGAAATTAGCAACTGCTAACTTCTGTTAAAGTAACAGAAACAAGTTAGCAGAACATGTGCAAAGCGCTGAGAGGCACCATTAAGAGCCACTGTCTGCTTGGCTCAGTCGTATGGAAAATCCGGATTACCACATTCAGTTTATGCCTACCGTAAACACCTTGCTGTCAATATCCTGTACTAGTGATGGATTTAACGAAAGTGACAAATTTAAAGTAGATGCTAAATGGAGTGGGAAGGGACAGGATTCAGACTTCGTTTTAGTCTCCTACACAAGTAAGGTTGTGAGCATGAATTCACAAACTAAACTTCTCATGGAATATAAACTAGTAAAGGAAAAAGCAAAAGGAACCCCAGACTTTCTTGCCATGACTGTGTTTGATTGTTTAAAACATTTATATAGTCACCCATCTTACAACAAACACAGTTAAAAGCAATGAAAAAAGTGAACTGTGGAAAAATAAGTAGTTTTTAACAAATGGCATTTACTGGCACCCAGGAAGCTGCTCCCCTCAGTTACAGCACCTGCAGCTTGGGACAGAATCTCTCCAGAGCTTTGCTTTGCTCAACCCACCTGTTTCCGAAAAAGCCCTAAAAATACGGCTTTTTCCTCAGCCTTGCATTAGATTGGGTGCCATAGAGAAGATAGTTTTTTTTTTTGATTCGTTTCAGGTCAGGGCGGCTTACAATGCTTTTAAGCAATAGCCTTCATACTTTTGTATATACCTGCTTAATAAGGCTTTTTTGGCCTCCCCTAAGTGGTGTTCTATTTTATACAAAGTCAGCTTATTGCCCTCACAAACCGGGTCCTCATTTTACCTACCTCGAAAGTATGGAAGGCTAAGTCAACCTTGAGCCTGGTGAGAATTGAACTTGCAGTAATTGCAGGCAGCTAAGTGCTACTTTAACAGCAGTTTTAGTCTGCTGCGCCACCAAGACTCACTTATATATATATGTATATGTATATGTATATGTATATGTATATGTATATGTATACACACATATACACATATATACATAATGTTGTTTTTTTCTATTGGAAATTTTGTAAAGCCCCCCTGAAGTTATTTTTGGAATGGGCAGCCTAGAAATTGGATAAATTAAAAAAAGCTTAGACGACAAAGCTACTTTCAGTAACCCTAGAGATACACACACTCCTTTGCTTTAAGAGAAACTGGATGTGCTTGTACTCATTTTGTGGTACAAGAGCAGCATTCATTTATTCCCTAGCAGTTGGGTGTAGATAACCTTACAGCTGGAGAATAATATTGTGATTTGTTTTGAGGATATTTTGATTTGGCAATCGCTGTGCTATGATGTAACAAAAAAAAAAAAAAAAAGAGAGAGAGAGAGAGAGAGACCTGATGGCCCTAGGCATTATTGAGGATAGGTTTAGTGCAGTCATTGAATGATGTTTGTGGCCCCTTTGTCCCCTAGGCTGTGCAAACATTGTGTGATAAAAGACCTTTTTGTGGTGAAACTCTGAAAGTATCCTAGACACTCTGACCTTGACTGCCTGGGGGCCTTTGAAGGAAGAAGCCGGGCCTGGGAACCGTCCCCTCTGAAAGCATATATTTACTAAGCCTTCTTTCTTGGCTTCTCTCTTGTCAAGGAATACAAGTCTTTCCTGAAAACTGAGCCCATGCCATGCATGTTAGCAGTGCAGAAGCAGATGCTAAATGTTTTTGTATTTTATCTGTTCACAGCTGTGTGGATGCCACCACCTTCCTCTACTTCAGCTTTTTTGCTCCACTCATCTATGTGGCATTTCTGAAAAGTTTCTTCGGGTAAGCTTTTTCCATTTATTTTATTATTAGTCCCTTAATCTTGTTTTTTTATGTGGCCAGGGAAGTTTAGACTACAGCAGACAAATAACTTCCTCATTATACAGTAATGGAACTGAAACTTCCAATAACAGTAATGAGAACAGCATTTTAAAAAAGCATATAGGAAATCCTCTATTTTCCACCATAGTTGGGACTAGAATTTCCACTGCTTAATGGAAACATAGTTGTGTGAGTCACATCTGATTTTACAACCTTTTCTGACAGGGTTGTTAAGCAAATCACTGCAGTTGTTAAGTGAATCATACAGTCACCTGGTACAGTTGTTAAGCGAAACATGCGGTCACCTGGCTTCTCCATTGACTTTGCTTGCTGGAAGCCAGGTGGGGAGGTCACAAAATGGCGATCACATACCAAGATGCTGCAACCATAAACGCATGCCAGGTGGCCAATCACTTAAATTTTAATCATATGACCAAGGGGATGCTGCAGTGGCCATAAGTGTGAGGCCCTGTTTTAAGTCACTTTTTTCAGTGCTGTTGTAATTTCGAACTGTTGCTAAATGAATGGTTATAAATTGAGGATCACCTGTATAAATCAATAAGATAATCTCAACATTTAAAATTGTGTAACCATCATTTTTAAGTAACTTTAACAAATTTTTTTTTTAAAAAGCAGAGTAACCTGAAGTGAATCATTTGAACCTATTCTTTATCTAAAAAGTTAGAATATTTTAGTTGGGTTACACTGCAGGGGTGAAATCCAGCAGGTTCTAACAGGTTCTGGAGAACCGGTAGTGGAAATTTTAAGCAATTCAGAGAACCGGCAAATACCACCTCTGGCTGGCCCCAGAAAATGGAGATTTTGCAATATCCTTCCCCCAGGAGTGGGGAAGGAATGGGGATTTTGCAGTATCCTTCCCCTGCCACACCCACCAAGCCACACCAAGCCCACCAAGCCATGCCCACAGAACCAGTAGTAAAAAAATTTGGATTTCACCACTGTTACACTGGAAGTTTTAAGTAGAGATTGGACAACCATTTGTCTGAAATTGAACAGGGTTTCCTGACTGAGCAGGGGGTTGGACTAGAAGACCTCCAAGATCCTTTCCCAACTCTGTTATTGTGTTATATAATTTAATTTACCTCCGAGACCGTCTTCTGCCACCAATAGCCTCCCACCGACCAGTCCTTTCCCACAGAGAGGGTCTCCTCAGGGTGCCATCAGCCAAGTTATGTCGGCTGGCGACACCCAGGGGGAGGGCCTTCTCTGTGGGAGCCCCAGCCCTGTGGAACGAACTGCCCCCGGAAATTCGTAAGATCTCCGACCTCCGGGTGTTTCGCTGCACATTGAAGACCCTGTTAATCCGCCAGGCCGGACTATCAACACAATAGTTTTAAATTGAGGTATTTAAATTTTTGGGGGTTTTAAATCTGAGCCAATTTATTTAATTATTTTAAATTTTATATTGTTGTTTTGTCTGTGTTTTAAATAGGCTGTACACCGCCCTGAGTCCTTCGGGAGAAGGGCGGTATAGAAATAAAATTATAATTATAATTATAATTATAATTATAATTATTATTATTATTATTATTATTATTATTATTAATATTAATATTAATATTAATATTAATATTAATATTAATATTAATATTAATATTAATATGTAATTAATATATTAATTAAAATTTAAAAAGAAGATATAAGATGAAATGGTGAGAAATGCAACTAGTTTCTAAGTGCTCTAAATTCAAGTTTTCCTTTATGTCAATGTTTCTAAGTCTTGGATTTCAATTCCCAAAATTTCCCACCCAGCAACACATATACATTATGTTGCTCTGTGAAATGGAGACAATAAGGCCATTAAAAAAAAAAAATTAAAGTGCGGTTTAGCTAAACTGGTGAACAGAATAAAGCAATTCTAACTCCCAGGGTTAGTAAATACCAGGAATTCTTTTTGCCAGTGTTCTAAAAGAATATCTATTGAATTTAGACTGCCATCTGGTGGCCACATAAGGGAATTGAGAAATACTTGAAATAATTTAAATTGCTCTTAAATTGCTGATCAATTATTCTGTCTGTTTTATGTCCAGGCAGATTTGTCCAGGACTTGCATATTTTTTATAGTTAGCTTTTGATTTACTGGAAATGTATTTGTAGGATTGCTTAGTGAAAAGGAAGAGGGTTCCTGAATTTAATGGACAAACCACATCAGCTGGTAATCTCTCTATTCAAAGGGCAGAAGGACAACCTTTTTTCTGCTTCACACAGCTGTTCCTTGTAGCAGATAGCACAGGGAAATAATGCCATAGGCATATATCATTTTTTTTTTTAAAGCTGAGCATTGTGGTAATTAACTAAGAGTATAAAAAAGGAGCATTCTGAAACAACATTTTCACCATGTTGTTGCTTGAGGGGGGTATTTTAATTAATTAATTAATTAATTAATTAATTAATTCCAATTTATATAGCTGCCCATCTCATATTTAACTCTGGACAGTTTACTCTGGGTGGTTTTAATTTTAATTACAATATACGTAACGTGATTTTTAGAGCAAGCAAAGCATTAGTCTGTTTTTATTACTTGATGAGTTAGATATAAGTATTTTTATGCCTGTTAAAGTTAGATAATACCAGAGCTTCTTTTCCCAGCGCTAGGGGTATAGCACATCAAAACTTAACCTAATTCAAATAAAGAAGTAATGGAGCTACTCCTTGTCTTTCTCATTATTTTAGGTCTGAACCAAAGATCCTCTTCTCCTACAAATGCCAGGTGGATGAACCTGAGGATGTCGATGTGCATCTTCCCCATGCTTATGGGGTAACCAAAAAAGAAGGGCTAGATTCTGGCTTCTACTCCAGCACTCAGATTGACACCACGGCATACCTGGACGATGTTGCTTCCATGCCGTACCATGTGGGCAGCATCAATAGCATTGATAGTGATCGATGGAAAGCCATTAACTCCTAAAGGCAGATGTGGTTGAAAGAATAACTTTCTCTTGCATCCATTGCTCCATTCAGATAATCTTTTGGAACTCTAATGTATTTGTCTTCTCTTTCATTGGACGTGTTTTTTTTTTAAAAAAAAAGACATTTGAACTCTGTATCGAACATAAAATTGGCAACTGTAGTCTTCCTGGAAGGACAATACTCATCTTTGTGAGACAACATACAGATCAGCTTCATTTCAGACATGCATAAATGCTGACTTTTCATATTCTTGGCATTCCAAATCTACATGGTTAGACCGTTTGTCACCTTTTGTTCGTGATAAAATGCACATTCTACCAGGAATATTGATTGTTCCTTCGGATATACACCCACCCACAAACAGTTTGAAATTAAGGTTGGAATGCCTTGTTCGCATTTTATTTTATTTTTAGGTTTGATTTAGTTATTATTTATATTCCCAACAAGTTTCAATTCCCAGCAGTAACCTTCACTGTGGAATTGGAGGATAATAGCATAGTTCCTACATTTTGGGCAACTGGCCTATGCTTGAAATGGAGGTGAGAGAACTCTAGAAGCTTTTGAGCATCTCATAATTCTTCCCAGGGAAGTAGGGAGTATGTTGTATTTTAAAAAGAACTTACATCTAGAAGGACAGGGAAGGAAAGTAGTCAGCAAGGAAAGGTCTCTGGAACACATTGCTGTGCTACTGAACTACTGTGATTTATTGACATGCAGGCATGTTTCATACACTGTATAATTTTCAGAATGAGAATGTAGCCAAGTGAGTGTTATGGAATGATGTACTGTAAGACCAACAGCACTTCTGTGCAAATGGGATTGAGTAGGGAGAAGATGGCTTGGATGGAAATTCTAAAATGAAAAGGGCAGAAGAGCAAATAAAAATATTTTACGAGCCTGTTTTAGACAGCTTGCTATTGATGCTTGGGATAGCATCTAAATAGAATGCAAACCTGAAGTGACTATGAGGTCTAGATTAAAAACAAACTATTTATAATATTAGTTGTGGTCTGGGCCTCCTGGTTAAGACTATATTATAAGGGTAGTGTTGGATCTGGTTTTTCTGAAACCTTTGGTAACACTTGGCTGATGATTGCATTAGTGATGTTGATAATGCCTGAATTTGGAAGACTTCTGAGGACTTTTCTGTGAGATTAGTAAAGTAAAAGAAATATTAATTTCTTTTATTATAATCAAGATGTTTCTGGAAAGAGAATAATCTAATATAGGATTGGCTATACTTTGAAGGCAAGAAGAAAAATAGCATATCTAAAACGTTTTAAAAAGCTTGCATTTTGTGCCCATGCATTATGCCTAGCTTTTGTTGTTGTTAATGTTCTTGCTGTAAGGTTAAGTGGAAAATGCATAATTATGGGCACCCTTAATAGTGTGCGAACTGTGAGTAAAATTATTTGAATAGAGACTGGCTAGGAGGCAAATGTAGGCACAGCTAATTGAATTAAAATTCCATAAAATAAGAGTGACAAACCAGAATGTCTTTTTCCTGTTGTTACGATGGCATTAATTCAGGATCATTTATGTTACAAATGGATGAATAAGGTTAGGATTCCAGAAACTCACAGCAATTTTCTTTGAAATTACAGGATTTGCTTTAAGGAAACCTCTTTAGAACTGAGGCACAGAAAGAAAAATTAACATTTTGTCTCCTGAATGCAGAAATGTTCTTCCCCTTTTCCATTTGTGATTTCTGCTTGCCAAGCCAACACCAATGTACATAAGACCTTGATTTTAAGAGTGTCAAAATGATCTAAATTCAGAAAAAGAAGACTCGTGCTTAAAACTGCTATTTGGATGTGTTGTTAATGAAGATTGGCATTCTGATATGATAGAGAACAAAAATTTGTCTTTAATTTTGCTGTTGGCCAGACAGCTGTTTCTAAGCATCACAATTTGGTACTGTAATTTGACTTGCTGGTGTTAGCAGCATTATTGTCTTGTGGCAAGAAATCTTACATAATTCGTAATTGACACCTCATTAATCTTTATGGTGTTAATTGGAGTTAGGCTGGTGGAAACCTCTGTTTGGAAATGAGAATTTATTGCAGCATTATGTGAGCCGGATCATACAAAACCTGTATTCCCAGACAACTGGTCAGTTTTTATTAATTTCTCAATTCCCTAGTTCTATAGGATATCCCAATCTCTTTCTCCTCCCCAGCCAGAATGCCCCAATATCCTTACATGGGCTATTCTCATTAGAGTAGATTGGTGTTATAAACCCACAGACCTGGAAGGAATAAAGTTGGAGAAAGCTTCTGGCACGTTAAGGTGCATTTGCAAAATGAAAGGATTCTTAATATGAAGAAGGATATCTTGGATAATGTGAATCGGGGTGAGATGACATTTCAGATACTTTTACTAACCATGTTCCGCATCAAATATCAGCCACTCACTCAACTATGATCACTTTTCCACTGTAGAATCCTGTTGTTCATCACCATGATGACTTGATTGTTAAACACCTCTTTATATATCTACCTTTGTCTTCTGCTGCTGAGGAGAAACTGCACTAAGGGAAAGAAATGTCTTCTTCCAAGTATACTGATTTTAAAGTGTGTGTAGATAATTCCTTCCATGTTCAGAGCGAAATACCATCCATAAACGGACAATGTTTGTGGAGGTGAATGTATTGCATGTCCCATGAAATGTTGGAACAAACTTTAAAAATAAAGCTATGTATATTTTTGTCTGTAAAATAAATGATCTTTGACTTAAATGAAGACATCTCCCCCACCATAGATGATCTGCCTGCATGTCCCCATATTTTTCTGCTAATCCCCCCCTCCCCCCAAACTAAGGTAGCCTGCTATCCTGTAATGAAATGCTTTTATTTTAAGGGGAAAGGTCATTGTTTAGTTTATTTTTCCTCAAATTTGGCTTACGTTTTAGAGTGGTATTTTCAGATTGTGATCACACCTTTAGATAGCGCTCAGTGTCACATCAGCCTGGGTTTGATATCATTTTAAATTTTATTAAATGTCCTTGAAGAAGAACAATCTTAAACCTTGTTATTTATTTAAATATAAATTGATAAATTGAAGAAGGAAACAATCACTATAATGTACTCCTCGACTTATGACCCCAGTTGAGTCCAAAATTTTCGTTGCTAAGCAAGACAGTTTTTAAGTGAGTTTTGCTGCATTTTACAACTTTTCTTGTCACAGTTGTTAAGTGAATCACCGCAGGTGTTAAGTTAGTAATATGGTTGTTAAGCGAATTTGGCTTTCCCATTGACTTTGCTTGTCAGAAGATGGCAAAAGGGGATCACATGACCCTGGGACACTGCAACTGTCATAAATACATGCCAGTTGCCTAGCATCTGAATTTTGGTCATGTGACTGTGGGGATTTTGCAATAATCATGTGTCAAAAATGGTCATAAGTCACTTTTTTCAGTGCCATTGTAACTTCGAACGTTAGTGGAGGACTAGCCATATTACTTTTGGGATTCACAGGTGAAACTGAGATCCAGTTTAGGTTGCTTAGCTAGATACAAAGAAGTTATGGTAAAACTATTCTTTTTTCCCCAGTGCTTGCTTTGAGTAAGTCCTTCTAGCTCAATAAAGTGAACTATTTTTGAAATTCTTGTCTGTTTATTAAACTTGTCCTTCATCTTCGTGAATACCAGGTCTGTAGAAGTATAAAATACTATGATCAATGAAAAATGGCAGCAACTCCACTGGTCCATAATTAAACATCTGGGTAAATGAAAAAGTATGAAATCAATAGTTGCAAAATTGGTGCTGGCTGACAACTGAGAAAGCAAAACTTCCTTTAACCACAATAAACCACATTTCCCTGGTTATCTTTGGCTGTGGGATACAATTATTGGGTCCTGCAAGCTGTTTTAGACTTTAAACAGCAATACATTTTGAATGGGGCTTGAAAAAAAACCCCAGACAGTTAGTATTTTATACTAGTAATTTGTTCCATTATTAGTCTGAATGGCACAGAATATAAATTCAAAACAAACTTACTTTAAAACGTATTGTTCCCTTTAAAACTCGGGCACCTGAATTTGCCCTGGAGCTGATAAAAACTTGATCTCGAATTTGGAAGAGTCTTAACTTTGCAAAACGGTTTATTTTGCTCCTTTCAACAGTACAAATCCTGAATACTTAAGGCAAAGTGAAAATGTTTATTAAGAGGGAGGGTCAAGTCTTCATACAGGATACAGAATAAGATACATGGGAGTTAAACAAGAGAAAACATTGATCATAGGTAACATTTCACAAGTGGCAAATTAATGGGTTTCATCACCCTCATTCTTAATTGTGTTTGTATGTTTCTTAACATTTGCAATCATATTCAAGGACTTTCAGAATAGATTCACTATTGTTTAATTGTTAAACATGATCGCCAACGTCCAATGACGGATATGGCACAAGAAGAAGATGTTGTTTATTTGCTGAAAAAGCTAATTCTTGTACAGTAAAACAAGAGAAATGATATTGGCTAAAAAGAAAGTATGGTTCCCTGAAAAGGAGGCATGGGTGTCATGTTAAAATGTTAAAATGGGTTTTATTAACGAGCCTATAAATCCAGATTGATAACATTAAAGCAAAATAAATGCTTAAGTCTGACTGTTCTGATTAGATTTTTGCATGGCATTTATTATTTTGGCTGAAAGGAAGATAGAATACATATTAAATAACAGTAGCCATTAAATCCCTAAGTTTTCAATGATCATATTTCTGTAACTTCTATACTATTTGAAGTTTCCAGGTTGTTTTAAGACCAGCCCTACTTTATTTTTAAGTATTTATTTATATCCCACCTTTATTATTTTTCAAACAACCCAAAGCAACTAACATATCCAACACACCCTTGTCTTATTTTCCCCACAACAACCCTGTGAGATGGGTTGAGCTGAGAGAGTGATTGGCCCAAAGTAACCCAGCTGGCTTTCATGGCTAAGGCAGGACTAGAATTCACAGTCTTCTGGTTTCTAGCCTGGTGCCTTAACCACTAGACCAAACTGGCTCCTTTATGGATTGTTGTGAGCTGCTCAGAATCATTGTATGAGATAGGTGGCCAAATAAGGCCTTTAAATAAAAGTAACATAAATAGAGGCACCATCATGGAAAAGGCATGCCTCCTTCATCCCCGTAAAATGACATGGTTCCCGCCTTATTTATTTATTTATTATTTATTTATTTAATTTATATTGCTGCCTATTTGCCCATGGCGACTCAAGGCGGCTTATTGGAGTTGTAGGACAGACAGATACCCTTGGAAGAAGGTGGTCCAATAATAATCCAGTCCTATGCTGTGTGGGGTTTTATACATGGTAACCAGCATTTAGTGTAGAGCCTTGGTTGCACAGCAGACTAAAGTGCTGTTAAGTAGCACCAGCTGCCTGCAATTACTGCAAGTTCAAATCTCACCAGGCTCAAGGTTGACTCAGCCTTCCATCCTTTCGAGGTAGGTAAAATGGGGACCTGGATTGTGGGGGCAATAAGCTGACTTTGTATAAAAAAGAACACCGCTTGGGGGGGGCCGAAAGCCCTACTAAGCAGGTATATACAAAAGTATGAAGGCTATTGCTTAATGTATTGTAAGCCGCCCTGAGTCTCTGGAGAAGGGCGGCATATAAATCAAATTTAAAAAATAATAAATAAATAAATAAATTGCTGAATTACAATATTGAGGAACTAGTCTTGCCACTGCAGTTTGGATCAGAGTTGTCTGGAATTAGGTGTTTTTAAATGTATGTAAAAAAATAAACTGGTTGTGGAGGACGGAGAACCACTGTAATTATGAAATTAATTATTTTACACACAAACGCGCGCGCACACACACACACACACTGCTGTAGGCAATAGCTAGCCCTTTGATTTTGAATTTAAATAATTGAATTTTATCATTCTTTTCATTTTTAGTAAATATTGGAAGTTTTCTTTATATTGGTTGCTATGGTGATAGAAGACCAAGTCCCTTTGCAGATTAAGAAATAAACTCCTTCTCCTAAACCTACAATTAGCTGCTTCATGTACTCAAACAGATAACAAATATTCTATTATTTTGCAGTGGAGGCAGTCAGCTTTCATTATAATACAACAGCTAAATGTTTGTGCTTTGAATGTGCCTTGAATTTTGAAACTTCAATTTTTATTCCTTTTTAAGGTGCTATCAGAAACAACAGAATCAAATAAAAGGCATTTACCGGTATATTCATTATTACTTCCTAAGCATTCTGGTTGCCACACATTGTGCCAGTATCTCAAATATAATTGTTATTTTGTGTTGGAATAGGCACAAATGTTCCTCTTTCAACATTTTAAGATATGTTTTTATCTATTTTTAATTGCCAAATTTGATGGATCCATTTTAATTAAAAAAAATGAAGCTTTATTGTGTAGTGCACAAATGTTTGGAAGCTCAGAAGCAAGAAAGGATGAAATTTCATCATACCATCAGAGATGGAAAGTATTTAAATGGAAACATCTCCAGTAACAACTGGATTTTATCAGTTACAGAACATTATGTTTTGTCTCAGTATGTTCAGTATCAGTAACCATTATATTTGTCTCAGTAGTTGACAGCTCATTTTAGAATTAAGTGAATAATTAGTTACAAGCTTATCAAATGACCTTACCTTACAGAGTTAACATTATGAGAAAGAAAATGGGAGAATTAGGCCACCTTTTGCTCTAGAGGAAAGGTAGGCTATAAATTAACAAATGGATACTGTATAGTAATGAGACTCAATACACAGCTTCTAACAATCTGTCAACATTTGGAAAGCCACAAGTTTTTGATACCCAAATTTTATTTAGAATGGTCACTTCAACCATTCAAAATGGAGACCAACCTTAAGAGATAGCAATTTGGAATATTAACTACGAGTTAGTTACTAACTCGTAGTTAATACAATTAACTCATGTATAATTGTTTATCATTTTCTCACTTTTATTTTTCTCTTTGCACCCGAGTCTCATTTTTAGTTAATGAATTGCACCCTTCCAGTATATATTCTGTAGAATTGCATTTAATGTCAGTATATAAAGCATTCAGTGCAATGCATTTGATCACTTGATGCAATTGCAATGATCTCCTGTATGGAGAATTAGTGCAGGGAAAGCGCCTCAGAGGGATACCACAGCTACAATATAAGGATATCTGCAAGAGGGACCTAAAGGCCTGGGAATGGACATTAACAACTGGGAAACCTTGACCTCTGATCGTTCAGCTTGGAGGCTAAAGACGCAGCATGGCCTTCTCCAATTCGAAGAGACACTTGTTCGGCAGGCTGAGGCAAAGAGGCAGTCCCGGAACCAGCGAAATCTGGGGGCTGGGCAGGGGACAGAATGTATCTGCCCTCAGTGTGGAAGGGATTGCCACTCTGGCTTTTTAAATCACACTAGATGCTGTTTTAGGACCTCTTTCCAGAGAACGATACCATAGTCTTTCGAGACTGAAGGATGCCAATGCCAATACTGCAATGCATGCTTATTTGAATATTTATTAATTAAATTTCTATATTCTCCATCTTTTTATTTTTGCAGCAACTTTTTTGGGGGGGCTTATAAAATGGTGCAATATTTAATAAGCATTATTTAAATACTAAATAATTTTAATGAAATCATTGGACAAGTCATGTTTTTTATGCTTATTTTTTTTAGCTCCAATTATTTGCTTTTTTTGTAGGAGTTCTGTGTGGTGGAGGAATTTGATCCAGGTATTAAAGCTGAAATTTCATTCAGGTAATATTGGAACATATGTTAAAAAGAAAAACATTATTTATATTTGAAAAATAAAAAGCAGGCTGGCTTGTTTTTTGTCCCTCTACTGGTGACATGTAAATTTACACAGGATTTGCAAACTACACAGCTCCAATGGATAGCAATGAATCGATTCTGATAGGTTTAGACAGAAATAGCATCGCAAGCAAGTTTAGTCTTGCTGAAAAGCAATTAAAATCTGCAGCCGGCATATATCTCCACCTTGAGATAGAAGTGTCTTTCGTCATCTGAAAAAAAAAAAACCTAAATTCAGGATGCGTCTCATCTCCGGTCCAATCGTTGAGACAAACGTAACCTTAAACCGGTTCATTTTGTGGGTCATTTTATCCAATTTAGCTTAATAGTAGCAGCAACATCATCCCAGGATGAGAATTTGGAGAAGGAAGACTACGACTTCCAGCATGCTTCACGGCCGCCTCCAAGACCGCCTAGCGCTATTGGAGACTTTCTCCGCGCTCGCCAACCAGCAGCGAGTTTATAAAGCGGGTGGAGCGAAGCGTGCTGTCTAGGTAGCTGTCTTGATTTTGAAGTCGCCTCCGAGTTTTCTTTTTCTTTTTTTTCCCGGGCGCTGCTATGGGTGGAAGCGGGAGCACCCATGGCAGCAGGAAGGTCTCCTTCGAGCTGGACGAGCAGGAGCAAGTTCGGGTGTTGCAGGGCATCAGAGTGAGTGGAGGTTCACCCTTAGGGAGGAATCCAGAGGGCGGAGTGGGTGGACGGCGTCAGAGGGGAGGCGTGTGGGTGCTGAGCGGCAGGGTTTGAATGGTAAGGGCTAGTTCAACCTTGCATTATTTCTCAACCTTGGCTGCTTTAAGAGGTATGGACTTCAACTCCCAAGCC